TCCTGCCCCGGGACCGAGTCTCCACCGCGGCCTGGCCCGTCCCCGGGCACAGACGGTCACGGCCCCATGGGAGGGGAGGGCGCGGTCCTGGCCTCTCGAGAGCACCGTCCAGAAAAGGCCACAGTATCCGTCCACCACGTTCAGCTACGAGGATGAACGACACACGCCATACGGTCTAACAGAGCGGCCTAACCGGCGAAGAGCAGTCTCGAAACCAGTATCCCGAATAAAATGGAAACCAGCCGTGGTTTAGGAACAAAAGTGTCATCAAATTCTCATTTTCTATCCCAGTAAACATCTTTGAATTAACGCCTATTCCACTAATTATGAAGGTTTTTTATTAGCGTTCTACTTGATTAATAAAGCACACACACATTACATATCATGTTGCTGTCATTTTCCCCTGGGGACGCATGCGGTGGTTTCTCAATCGCATTTGAAAGCAAGAGCGAGAGGGGGAGGTGGCTGGGAGCACAGAGGGAGCAAAACGGCTTTTTAAAAGTATGACGTTAATTTTGTAAGAAAAACAAAGCTTCTTAGACGGATCCTATCAAGTTACACCACCCAGTAAAGCAGATGGACCGCATCGCCTCACATGGCAGGGCCCAGCCCGGCGGCCTGGAGGCCGCGCTCGACGGTGCGCCAGGCTGTGGCCGAGGTCTGGGGGGAAGGTTGTCACCCGCAGAGTTCACTTCGGACCCTGCAGCGGAGACGCTGCTCCCAGCCATGGAGACGGAGCGGGAGGACACGGGGTGGACACGGGGGTGGACACGGGTTGGACATGGGGGTGGACACGGGGTGGACACGGGGGTGTGCCCTGAACCCCGGCCGCTGGACCTTAGCCGGCACAAGGCCGAGGTGGCAAATGGACTCAGTGTGGGAGGAGAGGGCAGTGCTGGCTCCCCGTGACCTGGTGGGGGGGGCGGTTAGGAGAGGATGGAGAATTTGTTCGAGTGCCTACCGTGCCCGCCTGAGGGCAGGTTGCAGTGCAGAAACGATGCAGTTAGTGTGGGTGTGGGTGGGGCTGGAGGCTGAGAGCAGAATGTGATAAGGACAGGCCCAGGCTCGTAGAGTCGGGCTGTGGGCTGCCCCAGGGACCGCCATGTCCCCACACGAGGGCTCAGAACTCCCAGGAGAGTGAGGCATTTTTAACAAGGCTTGATCTGCCAGCTGGTGCGCAGAGGTGAGCCCACGTGTGCATTCACCAGGAATTCCAGGGAACCCACTCCGGCCCCGACACAGACTCATGGTGTCACTGTGGAGAGACGCACTGAGCACGCCGTGAAGTGCCTAGATGATAGAACTGCAACATGTAGAGCGTTTGTTTTCTCTTTGTAAGATCGCATCTAACCGCTTGTAAAATTTACCTTAGTCTCAAGCAACAATTTCATAGGAACGCATCCCTAACTCGCTTGACGGTTAAGCCCCGTGGTGTCGCAAAGGTGAATGGTCAGACCTCCCCACCCCAGGACATGCTCTGTGCCCAGAGAGACACGCCGGGGGAGTGGCCGAGGGTCGGGACGAATTCAGAGCCTGTGCCGTCCACGTTCGCTCTGAGAGCCACCGGGCCCCGCCCCCTGTGAAGTGGGGTGACTGTCCCCTGCCTGTCCTCCTCACTGGCACCTGGTGAGGACTCGGGTCCAGGAGGCCTCACAGGCTGCTCTGTAGCCTCCCGAGTCCCCGTGTTTCTAGCTGGTCTTGAAGACCAGGGACGGTAGCTCCTGCTGTACCTGCGCCCCCCTGAGCGGGGTATACACTTGGTGCACACAAGTGTCAGTACTGTCAGGGAGGAAAGCCCTCCTTGTGGCTGGGAGATGCACAGCCCGGGTCTCTGGTGCCACTTGAGAAGGAAGTCTCATCTCGATAATAAAACTTCAAACAGGTGCCCGCTGCGGGCTCTGATCAGGAGCTCCCGTCGGGATGGGTGCCGAGGTCCCAGCTGTCCTGGCTGAGCCGGGCCTGGGACGGAAGCGCCAGGAAGCGGAACGGGCGCCCTGCCCGCCAAGGAGACCGGCCGCTCCTCAGACCCTCGGCGCCACGTTCAGGTCGCGCCGTGTCCAAGAGTCTCCTGCACGTTCTCACCTCGCGTGTCCAGCTCCGCCTTCCGGTCCACCATTCCGGCTTCAGGTGCTCCCAACCCTCCGTTTCACCCGGAGAGCCTGTGTCTCGAGAGCGAGCTCTCCCTCGTTTCCAAATAACTGCTCCCCTTGGGTTTCGCCTCTAAAAGTTTGGTTGGGTTCTTTTACTTTTTCTTTCCCGTTTAATTGAGATATAATTTACAAACAGCATGGTGTCAGTGTAAGGTGTGCAGCACAACGATCCGACTCACATCCGTCACGCAACGACGACCGCAGTAATTCAGTGAACAGCCCTCATCTCAGGTAGACGCAAAATAAAAGAAATAGACTATCTTTTTCCTTGTGATGAGAAGTGTCAGGACTTACCCCCTTAACAATTCTCCACAGCACACAGCAGCGTTAACTCTACTTCTCGTGTCGTACATCACACCCCTAGGACTCATTTACCTTATGACTGGAAGTTTGTACCTTCTGACGGCCTTCATCCAACTTCCCTCCCTCCCACCTCCCGCCCCTGGTTACCACAAATCTGATCTCTTTTTCTACGAGTCTTTCGGTTTTGGGAGTATAATTGACCTTCAACGCTCTGTAAGCTCCTGTTACACAACATAGTGATTCGACATTTCTGTACTTCAAAATGATCACCACGGATGTCTAGTTACCATGTGTCACCATACGATGACGTTACCTAGTTACTGACTGCATTCCCTGCGCTGTACATTTCAGCCCTGTGACCCATTTACTTTGTAACTGGAAGCTTGTCCCTCTTAATCTCCCACACCCATTGCTTTCTTCCCCTCGGGCAACCACTTGTTTGCTCTATGACTGTTTTGCTGTGTTTGTTGGTTTTGTTTCAAAGCCACTTGCTCTTTCGCGCTGTTCTTCTTCTTTAAGCCATTTAAGATGCTTAAACCCATCACCACCTCCCCTTGTCGTGTTACCGCGGTTCTTCACAGCAGTGACCCTCGCCAACTGCGCTGCATTTCCTCCTGTGCGTTTTATTAAGAGCTGATTGTCATGCGGGCATCTCCTCTGGGGGTTGCACATGGTCTATCCAAGTGGTTTTGCCTCCACTGAGGTTGGGAGCTCAGAGTTTTGTTGGGGTCGGATCAGATTTTCACCCCGCTTTTCAGCGAGGACTCCCTGTGCCCCGTGGACATGGGGAACCAGCCCTAGCCCCGCAGACGGTGCCTGTCTTCTTCTGGCTGGACAGCGGGGCCGGCCCTTCTTCAAACTCCTCCCTCCCTTCTGTGGCTCCGAGGCAGGGGCATATCACAGCCAGCTTGTGTGCACTTGCAGGACCAGACTGTTAACTTTTTAGGAATTTTATGAGCTGGTTGTTAAATATAGCCACTATTAAAATTCAATCATATTGACTGACAAACTAGATTAATACACAGGTAAGGAATACTCAAAACTTATCGCTTCCTAATTGTGTGAACTACATTTCACTCTCACGACTCTAGCAGCTGTCTTCTCGTGTAATCCTTTTCATCTAGGGAGTCCACATTAAAATCACTCACGGTGTGTTTACATCACAGAAATGAGCAAATATGACAAGTCAATGCTTTACGTGTGTCCGGCTGATCGTCTAGACTTGAAGTAAGGGCTGGAGAAGAGACACTGCTAATGCGATTAGACTTAAGCACGAGTGGTGTCTGCAAGGGTCACATCTGAACAGCACACGAAAACGAGGACACATTCCTCTGGGCCCCGAAACCAAGATCCAGCTCCGCAAAGAGGTCGCTGGCGCCACTGGTGAGCAGGGGAGTTCTGACCACACCACCTGTTAAGGTGAAAACAACCCGTGTTCAAGCTGGAACCACGGGCTGGCCACAGACGCAGAAATCCCACAAAACCGAAGCCGGCCTCCCGCGAGGATCCGTTAGCTCCGTGGCGTCCACAACAGGGAAGGCTGTGTGTGTTTTTATTGGTGCCGGTTGCATGCATTCCCAGCAACCCCTGCGCTGACCCCAAGTGGACCGCGTGGACCAGGGCCTCTGCCCCCTCGGGTTCAGCAGCGATCATGCTGCCCACACAGATCCTTCCATATCCCACCTGTCTTTAGAGCTGCCTATGCACAACGTTTGCAAGGTCCATTTTGCCCAGCATCCCTCGATATTCCTGGCTGGAGGGGCATCTTTATGTCACATGCAGATTCTGACACGTGTTTATCACGAGAAGTGTCACCCATTGCTATGTGCGCTTGTATGAAACGGTGACAGCAACTTTCCAACACACGGAAAGCAGAAGCTTCCTGGATGCCTGGGCAGGATTTTAACAGGAAGCAAACTCAGGCAAGGAGGTGCTGGTGGGGCCGAGCTAACAGAGTGTAAGTGGACGCCCATCGGTTGAGATTGGGGGTCTGACTTCTTGAGATACAAACACCAGCATTTAGTTGGACACCACAGGCCACGTGTCTTGCTACCGCCAGCCGAGATAGACCAGCACAGGACAAGAGGGAAGCCGCCAGGTCACACCCAGCAGCGCTGTCCCTCCGCGGCCAGGGTTTGACTGCTCCCAGCGTGTTCTCCGGTTTTGAGGCTCCTGGGACGGCCCGTGTCTCTGTGAAGTGGTGGAGGGCCCCCTCTCCTCTGCAGACAGCAAAGAAGGGGCCACCACCGCTCCCTGACACTCCCTGGGCAGACACGCACTAAAGAGGGGACAGGGACACACAGAGCACAGACCACGCCCCATCTTTTGACTGAGATTCTTTAATCCCTTTTTTAAAAACACTTTTCATTTTATTTATTTTTTATTTTTTTGGCTGCGCCGTGCGGCACGCGGGATCTTAGTTCCCCGACCAAGGATCAAATCCGCACCCCCTGCAGTGGAAGTGCGGAGTCTTAACCACTGGACGGCCAGGGAAGTCCCCTGTTTAATCACTTCTTTTTAAAAATCACTTTTTAATGAATAAAATCTCAGCGACACTCGACACCCCCCTGTACACACCCAGCTATGCAAATAAAATAGCAACTCAGTATAGAGTTCTAAGGAATATACACACGTTGTTGTAGGAATCCAAACGCCCGCACCTTCAGGAAACAGGACGGATGGGAAAAAACTGCTCTCTCATCCCAAATAATGACCATTCAAATGTGAAATCAGAAGTTTAATTGGACACAATTAAATATATTTATATATCTCACACCGAAGAAACATAAGAAGTTAGAAATTACAAGTAGGTATATGCTTCCTATATTCAGATAAACTAGTTTCTATTAATTATTTAGATTCCACATAGAGAGAAACAACGTTGGGAAAGAAATTATAGATATTAAAGCAGATATACATGACAACACCATTTAAAGACACAAACATTTTGGCATTTTTCTCCCCATTCAGCCGGCTGCTTTCCCTATTCTCCTGTCTTCTGAGATGTAACACCTATTTAAGATGGAAAGAACGGTGGGCAGCACGGGAAGCAGAGGTACCAGGGTGACCGGGGAGCGTCTTGTTCCCTAAAACGAGACCAGCGACACCCAGAGCCGCCTGCACACCTTCCCAGATGTTTACACGTCTTCAGTTTAAGGAAGTGCATTCTGTTTCGGGGCGGGGGTGGTACATTTGGCGCTCAAGTGGTATTTTGGCAAATCCAGATCGTTGCTAGATGTGTGTGTCTCCGTGACATCAGGCAAGGGGGCAGGCAAAGAGATGAACAGTCTGAGCCCTGGGGGGAGCCCGGGCCATCCCTCTTCCCCAGCTGCTATGATCCCACATAGGTAAAAAGCAAAAAAAATGCGGGTCTCCCTGCGTTCCTCCCACGGTGAAAGCACCCCTGGTCTTCTCTGGATGCCAGCAGGGCCCGAGCCTTCCCAGAAAGGGGACCATGGGTGCCTGCCGGGAGCTGGCCGAGTGCCCAGCTTTGCCCCGCACCCCCTCTGATTTTGGTCGCCCTGCAGGGAAGCGTTTAGCTGCGTCTGTGTAAATCCCTATTTGTAGTTCATAACCGTGTCTGGAGTTTGGGGCTCGCCCCCTACCTTGCCCAGGAGAGGCGTCCCTGCGGTGGCTGGCCTGGAAGCAGGCACTCTGGGTGGGAAAGTGTTTGCCCCCAGCGGCCCTGCCCATCCTCGGGGGTGGAAGGCCGGGAGGGGCTGTCGACAGTGCTGGGCGGGGAGGCTGTTGAGCGGCCGGGATCAAACGAAGAGCTGGGACGACTTTCTTATTATCTGCCCCAAGGCTGCGGAATGTCACCATCCTGTCCACCTAACTCCTCAATAAGCCGCGGGTGTCTCCAGTGATAAACTGTTGGCAAGACAAACGCCCACTGAGTTTCTTACGGCCGGTGGCCTCCATTTGGTGCCTCATCGGCCTCTCTGGGCCCCGCCCTGCACAGCTGACACTCCTTCAGGAAGTGACAGGTCACGAGCCAACTCTATTCCGGGGACCACGCTGACTGCGCCATCAGTACGACATGATTGCGGTTAAGAATGTGGATGGGTGCTTTAAGGAAAAATAAATTTTTTTTTCAAGAAAGTGAAAATAGATGAACTGATTGCCCCCAGTAATTGCATCTTCCCACAGATCTCTCTTTATTATTGTTTGGTTGAACAAAAATACACATTTTAACTGCTAAACTGCACTGACTACAGAGTCTTAAGGACCCGATTACGAGGCAGCTGCACTGGGAGACGTGGTTAAGTCGTCCCGTGACTGCAGACGGCTTTCCCCGGGGCCTCGGGAAACGCACTCACTGGGGAAAGGCTTTGAGGATGGCGTTCACCTCCTCGGCCACGGCCGTCAGCGCAAACTCGAACTGCTCCTGGAGGGACAGAAGGAAGGAGATGTGAGTGGGGGTCCCTTCTACGCCAGCCTTGGGCTCCCGTGTGTTACTCTGCAGAAAGAAACTGTTTAGGAGAAAAAGGGAAAGGTCGCAGATTTCCGTGGAAAGGAGAACAGGGCACTGGTTTGCAGGATAAGACCCAATGCCGACGAGCCACACTTCTCGTGTGGGAAAGTCTCATTTTTTATGGCTGCAAGAAGCTGCCAGTAGACACATGAGCGGGACAACGGCTGCCTGAGGCTCCACGCGCCCCGCCAGGCTCCTTCTGACGGCAGCGCCCAACGCGCGGACCCCCCGATGGGTGGGGCTGGATGCAGCTGCCGGTCCTTCCTAGACTCGCCACGAAAACGGTCACAATCACGACCCCTCGGGGTTACCTGGCCTCAGGATGTAAAGTGTGGTGCTTTCGCTGCTCTGGAAATCCACCCATCACCCAGCTCAACCCGATTCCGCTCCGTTTGCTAGGAACCCTCACATCACCCTCAACCGTCCCAACTTAAGACACGCGCGCACACGTGCTCACGGACGCCAGCGCACCACGGACGGGACACGCCTCTCGTGCAGCTGAAACCTGCCAGGACTGTTGGGTAGAAACGAGGGGCGAGTCCAGGGTGTCGGGACCGTCCGCTCCTCCAGAGACCAGGGCTCGGCAGACAGCGGGTGAGCCCACCTCTCCCACAGGGCTTCCCGGGCTCCCGGCTCCACCACCTGCTCCCAAACTCTGCATGAAACACTCAAAAGTAGTGTTATCAAGCACTTCCCACTACACCAAAGAAGTCACAAAAATAATAAACTATGCAAATGATCACCTAGCTAAGGATTTTTGATGAAGGAAAGCCCTACCGATGGCTTAAATACTTGATAATTCCAGTCATAAACAGACTTGAGTCCAAAGCCCAAAAGAATGATCAATTTCCACTTTGAATGGCCAGTATGTAATAGAAACATAGAAACTAGCTCCAATGAAAACAGCAGACTCACGTATGTAGAGAACAAACTTGCGGATTCCAGCGGGAGGGGAGGCGAGGGGTGACACAAGGGTGGGGGCGTGGCAGCTGCATCTACGGGGTGGAAGAGGCTCAAGAATGGACCACACAACACAGGGAACAAAGCCGGCTCTCTGTCACAACTGTAGGTGGAAAGTAACCTTGAAAATTGTATAGCAATTAAAAAATTGATAGTAAATAAATAAACTAGCTAAAAACATAAAACAGCAGAGAGTCAACCAAATTTAACGCTCACTTTGGGACAAAGGCCAGTTTCTCACCAGTGTTCCTCTGGCCTGACACTGAAGGGATGATCTGCCGGGTTCTAACTCGGAGCCTCTGCTGGCGGTCACGAGCCTCCCACGGACACGGTGGATCCTCCCGCGGAAGAGCCTCCAGGCCCATGTGCAGGGACCCCCTCGGGGCTGGTGCAGCAGGAGGCGCGCCCACGTGGGCCCAGCACACCCCAGCACCGTGTTCCCGCACAGACGGGCCCTCTCCTCCCCTCGAGGCCTGGTGCTCAGGCCTGCTGCCACTAGGACCAACGTGCCCTGGGGGAGCCGCCCCGCGCCGCCGTCTCTTGAGCCAGCGGTCGGCCCAGCAGGGCGTGTCACATGCAGGACTTGGTCCAAGACACGGGAGCAAGCCCATCAGACGTCTCCTCCCAAACGATGACTTGCCGACGGGCAGACCAAGGTCCGTGATGACTCAAAAATGTGAAAACATGAAGGGGGCTCTTTGGGAATCTCACTGTACATTTCCCACGCGTGTTTATACGGGAATCCACCCTAGAGCTTGTCTTCAAAGGGAGAAATGGACAAGCAAGAGATACGCACTGCGGCCTTGCTTATATAGGAAGACACCGGAAAACACCCAATGCCAAAGAGAAGTAAATTATTTTATAGAAAAGTGTCTAATAAGAAAGCCAGCGTTTCTGCTACCACGTGAAGTGACAAAGGCGGAGGCAGACCTGCCCCTGTGTCTTGACTGTAATCATTTAAACGCTCTCCACTCACAGGACCACGCAGAGGACCGGGCTGTGGGACGAAGCAGGTGCAGTTTAAGCCACTGCTGGGGAGACCGTGGGGCGGAGGGGACGAAGGTCTGCGGGTTCCACGCGATGGTCCCCGCTCAGCTGCCGAGAGGGCTCTGACGGCAAAGCCCGGAAGGCTGGGCCCTCGGGGCTGGACCGCGGTGAGAGGGGCTGTCAGCGCCCGGCCCGTCATCCTGGAAGGCTCCGGCGCCAGCTCCCCCCCCAGCTGCTCCCCCGTCACAGGTGGGGACTGTGTGTGGCCCACATTTTGAGCAGCGTCGCCTTAGCTGAGATGCCTGGGTGGGGACGCCAGAAATCGGGAAGAACCTAGCGTTTGAAGTCCTTTTAAGATAGAAATTTACTTTAAGAAAACCGTTAACATAAAGGCAGAAGCTGCACTTAATGAATACAATTCAATAAATGACAAGGTGACCATTTTGGCCTGGACTCAAGCTTAGGACAAGAGCCATCTGAGCAGGGAGGACTCGGGGCGTCCTGGCTGTAACACATCTGAGCTGACTGCGTTTGCAAGGATAGGAAATCAGAGAGAGGGCTGGGATACTCTAAGCAGGAAGATGTGCTAAACACAGGAGACCCGCGGGACACGGTCCGCTGTCTCTCCCAGGGTCCCTGCCCCTCCGCGTGAGGAGCCGCCGAGGCAGGACGTCCGAGCCCTGCGTCCACACAGGACTGGGCAGTGTGGCCCTAAAAGGGGTCAGGACGGAATGCCCTCTCCCAGCTCCACCCCGACCTCGGACACCAGAGACAGAGATGGGGCACAGGGCCCGCGTGCTGTGTGCACGTGTGTACATGTGTGTGCACGGGGAGGGTGGGAGACAGAGAGACAGAAGTACAGAGAGGGATGAAGAGACAGAGACAGAGAGACAGAGGGCTTCCCTGGTGGCGCAGTGGTTGAGAGTCCGCCTGCCGATGCAGGGGACACGGGTTCGTGCCCCGGTCCGGGAAGATCCCACATGCCGCGGAGCGGCTGGGCCCGTGAGCCATGGTTGCTGAGCCTACGCGTCCGGAGCCTGTGCTCCACAACGGGAGAGGCCACAGCAGTGAGAGGCCTGCGTACTGCAAAAAAAAAAAAGAAAAAGGAGAAGAGACAGAGACAGACAGAGACAGAGGGAGAGACAGAGAGACAGAGGGAGAGACAGAAAGACAGAGACAGAGACACACAGAAACCGGGAGGCGTAAACACGCCTCCAGGAAGGCGAGTCGGGGTGTCAGGGGCGGACCCGAGCAGTGGGAAACACAGGGGGTGAAGTCAAAGTGCAGAAAGGGGACAGGTGGGTGGGGGGGGAGGCAGTGCACGGAGACCACGTGGACGCACCTGTGTGTATCCCAAGGGGGCAAACGTGACATCATTACTTGGAGGTGACTGAACACACAAGTCGAATGGCTTTTATTTCTAAGTGACAACTGTAAGAGGAAATTTTATGATGGAAAAGCAAGTGTCAAGGCCTTTGATTAAAAGGGCACGTTTCTTTCAGGAGATGCATTGAAGGGGAAGGAAGGAGTCTGTTTATAAGACACGCACGGAGGACAGCTTCACTCATCTTCTGAAGTGTGTTATTTTAATTGCAGCCCCTGATTTCACCTCTCTTCCTAAAAATGAGCGTTTTGCTGGGCCTGTCATGGACGTACAGTGACGGGGTCGTGTGGACGTCACGCACCCACGTGCCACCTCTGCCTGGATGTCCTCTTGCCCTTGTGCCGCCTCCACCCTGCAGGGCTGGGTCTGTCCTCTGAGTGTCTGAGGGGGCACAGCCGTCCACCAGGCATCCGTGGTTGCTTTGACTGAGAGCTTGCTTCCGGGTGGAAACACAGCTCTCTGTGACTTTTTACAACCTAATGAAGTTCTGTGCCCGGCTAGGCGTCGGGGCTCCGTGGCTGCCCCAGGCCCCAGCCTCAACGAGCGCAGAGCTTATTAACTGTTCTGACTGTATTCGGCTCAAATGATGCGATTTGACTAAATGGGTTCAAATGAACAGACTGTGGATGACCTTCTCGTGGCTCATGGGAAACAGCATTCAGATTCACGGCACTGTTTTGTCCGAGGAAATTTCCTACGTTTTTGTTAAATTGAACTTTAGGGAAAGCTCAGTTTCATGGAGTGAGACGTTGGGCAGAGCAGCCATCGATGAAGAAAGAACGGGGGCGCCTGTGTGTTTACTATGCGTTATCCCTGAGATTCCAGGAGCTGAATTTCTGCTCTGCACGGCAGCCTCGGAGAGCTCACACGCAGCCCAGGAAAAGGGCGGGTGTCCGGGGCAGTCCATCCACACAGGAGGTCACAGCTTGCCAGCCTCTGCCGTCTGGGAGCACCAGAATGTTGGGGCAAAATCCTCTGGCCACTAGTGGCCCTTTGTCACTTAAAGAAATCAGGATGTTAGTGACTATAAGGTACGTGATGCTAACACAGGGCAGTGCCCCTTCCTCCAGGCAGGGCTGGAAGACCACCCCTTTGGGCTCGTTCTGGCCAACGGGCTGCAGACCACAGAGGGCTGAATGGGGTTTGTAATGTATTAGGAAATTTTCTTTTCTGTTTTAGAGAGAAGATCTGTCTTCTCAATAACTTTGCCTAGATCCATCCCAGAGTCCGTGTGTTTTGAGGATCCTTGTACCCTTGCGGGGCGGACGGGCCTGCCTGGGAGGGGCCCGGCTGCAAGGAGGGAAGCGACGGGTTTGAATTTAGGGTCCTGAGCATTATTCACACAGCAGTCAACGGTGTGACAGGGAAGGCAGATTTGACCAGAGACAGAATCAGCTCTTCATTCCTGGCTGTAAGTCGCCCCTGCTGCCCCAGCCCCGGTTCCGGGACGTGTGAAGTTTGCAGCTGCCAGTGGCCATGTAGGGCCCAGACCATCCAGGACAGTGAACCAACCCCGCATTTCTGGATGACCAGGCCACTACCCCCAGCACGGTCAGTCCCACGGGCGCTAAACCCGTGGGCTACGGGGCACTGGGACAGCATCGCGTTGTGGTAAAGCTGAACCACAAACAAACAGGTGTGAGCAGGGTCCAGTTCTCCCCGGGACGCCACCACTGCCAACGGAGAAAGAGTGACCAGTGGGGAATGCTGGCGGCCGCGCCCTGAGCCCAGGGGCCGAGCTCACCTCTCCAGCGAGGACACACACCTTCTTCGGTATGCTCCTGTCAAGACGCACACCCGGACCCCATCACGGGAGCACCAGACACACCCCAGCCAGAGACAGTCCAAGAAGCACAACCAGACCTGGCCGGTCCTCAAGGCCACGGTGCTGCCCACCAGAGGAGGCGAGGGGGACGTGACCAGTGAGCGCACCGTGTGGCTGCTCCTGGAAGGGACCCTGCTGCAGAGAAAGGTCCCTGGGAGATTTGACGCGGTCCGTACGTGAGTCAGTGGCATCGAATCAGGGCCAGCTTCCTGGCCTCGCTTGTTCCCTGTGGTTACGAAGCGTAACCGTGGGAAGCTGGCGAAGGGCACACGGGAATTACTTGTATTTTTTCTGCAAGTGTTTGCAGGTCTGAAATAATTTCAGATTTCAAAAAGTCTAAGAAAACATGAAGTGTGCAGTGACTTTCACATAAGATTCCACAGAAGGGTCTGGTGACAATGCTGCATGTTCTAGGGCCCGAAATAAAGCGGAGGGACAGAGGGGCCGTCGGTGCTGGTGTCATCAAGCCGCTCCCCCCCGCCCCAGCCCAGATGCGGGAAGATATCAGGGCAGCTGTGATCGCCAGCTAGGGCTGGGCAGAGTCCTGACCACTGAATGCTTCCTCTGGTCCTGCTCAGAAGAGGTTTCTGATTCTACAAGAGAATTAAGCTGCTTTTGCCTCAGTGCTTGGGGCTTCGACAACGCGGAACCAGCCAAAGGGCCCTTGCAATGATCTCCAAGGTCACAGTGTGCTCGCTGGACTTACCAGGCTCCCGGCTTCTCCCTCCTCAACGGAGTGGGCGGCATTTACACTGTTCTCTCTCCCTCAGGCTCAGACACTGCATTGTCCTGCTTGATTTCGCATAGTGACAGCGAGGGAGGGACAGCGTAGGAACTGCTTGCCCTTTGTGGGGGACAGTGAGACCCCGAGGCAGGACGACTGGGGCCCCAGAATCGTCACCACCAGGCACCAAAGCACAACCCGGCTTGATTTTACAGGAGAGCTTACGATAACTTAAAGTCTCCTCGAGCATAGAGCAGCGATTTTGCAAGGGCATCTTTCACGATTTGTGGCCTTTGGTGGAGGCGCTAACGGCATCGGAGGGTCAGGACTCCACACTGGGAAGAAGATTCTGTATTTTATGGCTGCAGGCTGTGTGGGAGTGTTTGTGGCTGGACACAGATATGTCTGGAATGCTGAGAGAATGGGTCATCCCAGTGACCTGTTTCTAGCTCTGGTTAACCCAAGGCCGACCAGGAATCTTTTGTCTTTGCTCCTTTTGCTGCAGACTTGGCCTTTTTAATAAGTATGCACACGAGCTACTCAGGGTGCTCAGGGACCCAGCAGCACCTGGGGGCGTTCTGGTGACCACTGTCCTGATGACCGCACGGCAGAGCTGCAGCTGTGGAGCCGGAAATACGGGAGGTGGGCAGAATGTTGCATGAACGCAGAACATTCCATGCAGGGGTGCCGGCGTTTATCACTGACCTCTGACTATAAAACTGCAATGTTCTCCCTCCCTCCCCAAATCTGGCACATGGAGAGTTCCCAGGGCCTGAGATCCGACTGCATCTGCTCAGGCTGAAATGTCTGGCTGCTGCCGGAGCTGCCCTCGACCCTGCAGGGAGGCGCTGCCCGCGTCCTGCCCCGTGCAGCCCTGGCCTGGGAGGAGGCCAGCCGGCCTGACCCTCGCTCCTCTCGAGAAAACCTCCACACAAAGACCCACCCCCGCAAAGCCCTGGCAGCCCCGAGGACTGGCCGACAGTACCTTTGTCTGAACCATGCGTGGCCTCTGGTCCCTCAAGTGCTCCAGCGTCGCGGCAATGTCGATCTCTTTAGCGCCTGCAACAAACACAAATTGGGCTGAGTTCAGGCACAAGACAATCCGCGCTCTGCGTCCCTCGCCTGCTGCCGGGGTCCCTCAGGGCTCAGCGGCCAAATGACAATGACAGTCATCCCTCAGCTGCCTGGCTGGCAGGCAATTTCAGGGTTCACACAAGAAAACAGGGCAAGGCGGCTTTCGTTAGCATTGATTCAAGAAGGCTGGGCTGAAAAATGTTATCAGGTACCTATACAGACGCCCACAGCAAGCTGTCGCCAGGAGCGACTAAGGCTTTCTTGATTCTTTTTTTTTTTGGTGGCATTTTAAGACTTTTATTTTTTTTGGCTGTGCTGCACGTCTTGCGGGATCTCAGTTCCCCGACCAGGGATTGAACCCAGGCCACAGCTGTGAAAGTCCGGAATCCTAACCACTAGGCCACCAGGGAATGCCCACGAATTTTTTTTAAAAGATATTTTTGATGTGAACCATTTTTAAAGTCTTTATTGAATTTGTTACAGTATCGTTTCCATTTTATGTTTCGGTTTTTTGGCTGCGAGGCATGTGGGATCTTAATTCCCTGACCAGGGATCGAACCCGCGCCTGCTGCGTTGGAAGGCGAAGTCTTAACCACTGGACCGCCAGGGAAGTCCCCCCAACAATGTTTTAAGTCATAAGAAGTAGCATATGAACTTTAATTTCTGTTGCATAGGATTTTTATTCAGAGAACTGATCTTATACATCTAAATACTGGCTTCTAAAGGCAGAGCTCCCTGCCTGTTAGAAGTGTGTTCCAAATGTTAAGAAAAGGTCAGGACGCCCCACGTGCTCACGGGTTAGTCGTGTGGCCTAGATCCCCTCCTACAGACGCACCCACCTGACACCAGGTGACTTGGGTGCCACAGATATAATACTATTTGAGTTTAAAATTGTAACCTTACGGATTCCGCGTATATTCTTGTTTTTGCATCTTGCTAGGTCCTTTGGTAGCTGGACAACAAACAAGACCGGGTCCCAAGCTCGCGAGCTTCTTACAGTTCAGAGGGGAGCATCTCACGTCTGCCGTGCAATCCTGACAAATGCTGGGGGCTTGGGCGGGGCGCACCTCTGAAGTCGGCCGGGACCCCCCCCACCAACCCCCAGTAGGTGCATGTCATGCACAGCATTTTTCTCACGGTGCAAGAACTGTCACCACTCCCTGTTCAGGGGAAACTGAGGCTCGTCCCGGTCACGCAGAGCAGGTAGCCATGCTCATCGGACCCAGATGTGGAAGCGGGACCGGGCTGGTGGCCACCAGGACGGCTCAGGTCTCCCACTTCCATCACACCTGCGTGTGCACAGCCCTGCCCTTGGCCGGGAGCTGGGAGACGCGCCTGAAAACGTCCAAGGCCGCGGCAGCCTTAGTGCCCTGGTTCATCCTGGAGGCCTGAGGCCCACGTGGGTGACAGCTGAGCCGCCAGCGCCTTTTTCCGAGCGGCAGGGAGATGTCGCTGGGGACACGGATGAGGATGGGAGGGAAGGTGGGGGGACCACACACTGTCTCAGGGAGAGGGTGCCTGAAGTGGGAGGGGCTGGCGGCTGGAGGGAAGGTGGGGACGGCTGGGAGGAAACACATTCCAACCAGGTGCTGTGCTCGCATCAGGGAAACTGCCACGAGTATTGGGAATCCGGCAGTAAGTCGCTGAGAGCGGGAGGCCAGGATCCGGGCTGACCCCCCTTGGCCAGCACGGTGGCCAGTCCGAGTGCCTCGAGGTGTGGGGACAGTGTGGCATGAGCTCATCACATCTAAGCCGGCCGTCCTTCCAGACAATGAACGCCCTCCGTCGGGTATGGGAACACCCCAAGCCCCCCCGACTCTTAAATCAAAGTCTTTCTAGGAAGTCTTTCTTTCTGGGGGATCCGCCGAGAAACTCGTCCAGGCGGAAGGCAGGGTCTCCTGTTCGCCTGAAGGCTCCTCTCAAGGTGTCAGAAGTTGTCGAAAGCTGACAAGGTCACAAGATGTACACTCTTGTTTGGGGGGGAACCTGTGAGCCCAGAACAGCCTGAAACAGTGGGTGAAAGAGGGGCTCCGGGGGGGTCCCCCGGCCACGTGTGCAGCGGCCCCCCGAGGGGCCCCTGTGCCAGGAAACTGCTTCCTCATCTCCCCAAAGGAACACGGAAATGGGCTTCTTCAAACCACAGGTTTGCCTTAAGAAAGTGAAGTCCTACGTGGAGAGCGAGCAAGGGAGGGGGTGTCCCACCCGAGACCTGAGTTCTCGTCCCCCCAGAAACACCCAGCTGCCAGGTCAGGGTGGCCCCTCTGGACGCAGCACGGAGCTGCTGCTGCTGTTTAATTCCAAGCACGAAGAGGCCCAACTGTGGGCAGGACGCAGAAAACGCCACCTGGGTGCGTCCGGGGCGGGCGCGAAGCTCCAGCAGGAGCAGAGCACCGAGGGGCCTCGCGGGGACCCGCGAGTCAGTGCGTGGTGACCGCGCGATGCACAGAACGTATTAGCTGCTCAGTGAATGTGACCCCGTGGATTCTGTGAGCAGAGCCTTCTGGGAGAAGTGCTATCTCTGGGCAGCTCTGTCCTCCCGTCCCGTGGACGCCAGGAGAACGAGGTGTGGGGTAGAGGTTGATTCACCAGTTCAGAGACGATCCTAGTCCTTTAAAAACAAAATCCTGAGGGGTCCAGACTTAACCCCCCACTTTTTAAGGTTGCTCAGGGCAGCGTCTTTAGTCCTTGAAACCGGTTTGAAAGACTCTTTCAACAGCCCTTTTCTTCCGAAGGGCTAGTCTGAACAAGAGAACCCGCACGAAGTCCTGAACCCCCCGTCCCTCCTCCGTCACCCTGGAGCGACTCTGCAGGGCTCTGCCTGGGGCCACGTGCAGGTCCCCTCCGAAGGCAGCTCCGTGGGGAGACTGTAGGGCCACCGGGTGACGCTCTGATCAGGTGCTACGGACGAAACCTCTCTTTTCACTGCGCTCTCCTTCGGACGACTGCTGACAGAGGAAGGAGAAGGCCTACTTAGGGTTTCCCTAGACAGGGTCCGGGGAACGCGAAACGCCCGGGGACCACGTCTCAGATCACGCTTAGCCTGAAGCCAAGGCTCAACAGTGGAGGGAATCAAATTAAACCTTATGAAACCGGACAGCGCTGAAAATAGAGAAGTAATGGATTTATCAGGTAGAATCAGTGGTCCGATGTGGATGGCTGCTGTCTCCCTGCGTGTTAGGATTGAGGAGAGTTAGTTATCTGAAGTGTGCGTACAGAGAGAAGTTTTAATAGAGCACACATGCAGGATCTTCTACGAGGGGCGGGGAGGCACGGCCCTGCATCCTCTTCGGTGACCCCGAGCATCCTTGGTGACCCTGAGGTGCACGAGACACACAGTCTGCGTTTATAAACCAGAGCCTCGGGGCTGGAGGGAGGGGTGTGTGTCCTTCTTCACCTTATAAAAGGCTTTACTGAAGGTAAAAGGATTTGTTTAAATCCCCCAAATAGCTAGGAAGCTCCCTCTAGTGCTTTTAAAATGGAATGCTCTCTACAAATCCCATTTTGCTGATCACATGTCAAGGTCCAGGCGAACAGACACATGAGGTGCTGTGCTCAGGTCGAAAAGCATGTGAATAGTTGAGGAATTAATTATAACAGATGCAAATAAAACCCGGACAGAAGACGGGGTGTGATTTCAGGGAGAGGTTTCTGGCATTTTCTATTGGAGAAGCTATTTGGATACGAGAGGAATGTATGTGCTTATTTAAGTCATCCTGCGGTCGGTCTAAGCTGGTGATTCCATGAATGTACAGCATAGACAGAGGCAGCCTGTGCATTTGGGCCCAGCACCGCACAGGGCGATTGTGAGTCAGTCTGACCCATCTTTCCCGGCACCAGTGACCCAGCAGGTGCGCTGCAGACTCGAGGCCGGAGTGGCCGGCGGGGTCCTGAGAGACACTGGCCAGGCGCCACCCCGAGCACTGACCAACACACACAAAGGGCTGCCGCTGTGGCTTCCCAGTGTGCTCGGTGGGGTGGGGGGCACTGGCTCCGAAGTTCACATTATTGGTTAAATACACTTTTAAGACAACAGGGGTTTTTAAGCTTTAGATAGAAAAGTATTCGCCATCAAACAAGAAACATTAAACGAATTGAGTATTAGCAATATTAAAAGTTTCTTAGGATGCGAGAGTCAATTCAAAGCGAAAGAAAGCCAAGCAAACGGGCCACTGGTGCCTCCTACGAGGCTTGCTCTGACTTCCCCTGGTGACTGCTGGCTAGTGGACGGGGCGCAGGGCTCTCTGATTTTGGCAGCGTGGCCGCGGCTCACGGTCGAGAAGCGCCCCTGTCTCTCCCCGTCCTCTGCGTCCACAGCGTCCTCAGCAACATCACGTAATAAACAGAAATACATTTTGTTGCAGAGCTTTTGCCCAGAAGGTTTTGCAAACCGCAGGGATGCAATGTATCCTTTTTTCTTGTAAAAAAAAGCCATCATGCGTCAAGCGCACAAGAGAGAAAGGCCTTTATTTTGCAGGAGGAAACTGTCTCAATTCCACCCTCTGGGAGAACTGAGGAAAGCTCTGCTCCTCACTAAACACACCTAAAGGGGCGAAGGAAGAGCGGTGACGGTCGTGAGCCCGCAAGGGGCACTGCCTATGTCCCAGGACAAAGCCAGAGCTGTCTGAGCGCCGAGCTGGGTCCCAAGAGTCTGTGGTCTTCGGCTGAACTCCGTTTGGGAAGGAAGGGCTGAGCAGTGATGGGCAGGGACAGCGCGAGGCCTCACCCCTGCAATCGGCAGGGCTGGATGTCACAGCTGGGGCTCCCTCTGGGTCAGCAGGATGACCGAGCCTTGACCCCAGGCGCCGCGAGTCAGGGGGCACCAGAGCCAGAGGGCAGCCCTCCTCCCGCCTCTGGGTGTCTCTGGGTGCAGGTGCTGCCTCCAGACCCTGGCCTCCCACTGTGCACACACGTGGGCACGTTCCCACACACTCCCCCACGGTGCACACACACACACGCACGCACACGCACACACTCTGTTCTGGGTC